AAATAACAATGAGATCTACGTATAGGTAATAAAAATATTTTATAACATATTAATTGCTTTTGTAGTATTTAATTTGATTTATAATATATACCTTATCTAAGGCCAAAGACAAACTGAAATGTTTTGTTACATTGGTAATTAGTTAATAATGAATCATTTGTTAGTTAAGTATTTGATCATTCTGATCAGTAGTATCTAGTCATATTTATCCTGGCCACTAGCTTATTTTAGGCAAACCATATTGCATTTTATAGATATTATAGTTATACTGTTATATATTGTTGTATTGTATTATATAGGTATATTATATTGTCACATAATATCTGTCTGCTTTACAATGCTTTTAAAATATTTTTATTTTCCTTCATGGTAAATGATAAACTGCTATGTAAATGGTACAAGGAGGCAATTTACTGCTACTAATCTAAAAAAGTAATTAAAATATATACATAAGAAGTTCTTATTAAGAATTAAAAACCAATATGTTATATGAATTATAAATAATTTAGTTACATAATTTACAAATCATTACTACTATCTATTCAAAATAATAAATAATACAAATTATATTATAAGTATAGATTCTTTAATTAATAAAAAAAAAATTAATAAGTGAACTAGGTTTGCAAAATGTTCAATTATTTTACTCATAATAATATAATTAATTTTTCTGTTTTATTTTTTTCAATTTTCAAAATGGCAATGTTTGATAGTCGATATTGACTCATTGAGTTTGTTAAGTAATTTTTGATAAGTTTCTGTTTAGAAAATGATCTTTCAGTAGATGTTACTATTATAGGCAATGTGAGAAAAATAAGGTTGGGCTTAAAATATCATAATTGCATGTAGGTACTTGGATACTATAGTATTTTTAAATTATTTAGATGCAGGATGTAACAGGACGACCTGAAAAATGAAATAACTTTTGTTCTAATTAATATTTTAAAATATGTTTTTATACATAATATATAATTAATATTATGGCGCAATTATTTTTATTTTTAGTTCTGAAAATAGCCAATTTGTAAATCATAAGAACAATTAGATGCTAAAAATATTTATCTTAGTCATGTAGTTCATTTTTAAAACATTTTAAAATGTTAATAATTTTTTTAATAACTTATTTATCTTATTATTTTCATAATTTTTGCCATATGTTTAAGTAGCATAATTTTTTTTTTTTAAGAACCAATGGTACTATAATTATCTCTGTGTCTAGAGCACTTAGAGCATTTTTTACCTTCTACAAATACATCACATTTTTCTACTGACACTATGTCTTCAATTACAACTCCGTCTTCAGCGACTACAAAGTTACCTTCAGCTTCAATAACTTGACTTCTATATTTATCCTCAACGGCATCCACAACATCATTATTTTCACAGCACTCTTCTTCAACCACATCCATAACTTCATCATCTGCACCTACATTGTATTCAAATTTTATGAAGATAATTAATGTTGAATTGCCTTCTATTAGGCCATTACAATTATCCAAAAATTATCATATAGATTGCATAGTTACCTAATATATGTAATGATAATTCTTGCCCTTTAAACCAAGTGTTAAAAACAAATTCTAACTGTTCAATTTTTTGGTGGTAGTGAATATTTGATGATCTTGAAACTAACTCAGAAATCTTTGCTCCTATTATCGATGCCTTACGAAACTTCTCATGAGTTGTGAGAATTTTCATTATTTTGTACAAAGTTGTGATTGTCAGTGTTTATGTCCTCAAGGACCTCAAAATTCTTTAAAACCCTTTGGTTTTGGTAATAAAAGTTCCTAGTCAATCTTTCATCACATAAACTATTATTATATAAAGATAGAGACTGTTTTTTCCTTAGATTGAATATATGACAACATAAAAGACAAGTACAGTTATTTTCTGTTGTTTTCTCAAGAACATCAGTTTTGGCTGCACATTCAAATTGTGCTTTTAAAAAATTGAATGTATATGGTGTTAACTCGGGTGTTAATAATCTATAAAACTGTTGTAGCTCTGATGTGGAATTTGTTTGAGTTGGCTGTTTTTGGACCAATTGTAGGTATAGCATTTTTGTCCCTTTCTAATGGCACACAATCCAAAACAATGAATAGTTTTTCTACAAAGTCCTCAAGAGTGGAAAAGGTAGATATAATAGATTTTAATTTTCCATTCAAACTCTCCAACCTGTTATTGGTTTTATTCATAAAATTTCCTGTGTTAAATGTCATAACCCATTCATTGCGCATAGCATGCCAATTCTTATTATAATATTCCATTACAGATTCAGGCGCCATAGCTTGAAGATGATGATATCTGATTGTGTCTTACAGTAAGTTAAATTTTGAAAAATTTGTTTTATATCGTCTCTTTGTTTCGGTGTTATATTTCATTTTTCGCATGTAATTTCTCGATTGAACGTACGTAATGTATGAAATAAACATATTGTTAGTGCAGCATTGGGAAATACTGACCTGATAACATTTCTTTCCTTCACGTCTTTGTCGGTAACGTAAATTCGAGTTTTAGTTGAAACTGAATTGTTTTTTTTTAAAGGTTTCAAAGAACCGGCGCAAAGTAACTTCTTCTTCATTTACTAATAATCCAATCGCAGCTATTTCACTTTGGCCATTACCATCTTCAATCATTAGAACATAAACTGGAAGTCTTAAGTCTAGCAGTTTTATGTGGCATCTGCAAATACTACCTAAAAAAAAGTAACAGAATTAATATTGTAAATTGTAACTATTATATATGATACATTATCTCTGGAAATGAACTAAAATACTTGGCCATAACATTGTCTTGTACAAAAATACCATTTAAATTATTTATTTCATCCGTTGATATTTCTACTCTACATTTAAACTTTTCCTTTAATTTATTAACAACTTTAGATAAGTCATTCTTTGAATATTGATTTCCTAAAAAATACACTCTAATAAAAGAACTTAATAAAATTATTGTTTTTCTTACCGGCTGTTGTACGAATATTGGATAAATCCTTTAGGGTTAATACTTTACCAATATCTTTCATAATTTTATTCTGGATCATTTTTTTGTTCGCCTTTAGGTCCATAAGTTTTAACACTATTGCCTTAGTTTCTGGTTTTAATTTCCTTTGATTTGGGAGATGACTAAATAAAGTTTTTGATATTTTATGGTTATGATTTTTGTTGATATTTGTTACTTTTAAACATTTTCCACATTCCGATGCCTTCAAATAAAGACTAGCTTCACAGCCTTGGCGCATTGTACTTGAATCATTTTTTAAAAATCAAATAATCATGTATATGTTAAACTATATGTAAATGTAAACTTATGCATTGTATAATAGATGTACTTACGATGTCACACGTTGATCAAGACAATTTTTTTTTTTTATATGTGCCACCATGTATGCAGCATAATTTAATGTAATAATATTTTAACTCTTTAGACGCGGTGCTCATCCTACCATTAGGGAATTTAGTGTTAATGGAATTTAATGTTTTGCAGTCTTTTGTAAAATAGTTTACAAAATTAGAATTTTTGTAGACTATAAAACTATCTTCAAATTCCACAAAGGTGGTGAACAGAGGCGGTTTGACATTTTCCAGTAGGTGGTTCAAGAATAGTTAATACCACCCACCCACCTACCAAAAAAAAACAGTCATACTACAAAACTTCACTTAATTTTATAATTTTTTGGAAATTATTTTTATATAAAAATTAGAAAAAAATTTTTTTTATTACAACATTGTCAACATTTTAATACAAATAGTTAATATACATAATTTTAAAAGTGTTAACAATACATTAATGCTTTCTGAAAAATATTGGAAGTTGAAGCAAATTTATTAATAGCATCTTCAATTGATACTTCCATATCAGGGTTACATGAAATTAACATTAAATTATCTAACCTTTTTTCTCCAATAGTAGAGCGTAATTTGGTTTTAATGAGTTTAAGCTTGGAAAAACATACCTAGTTCTGCAGTTGCTGATGTTGGTGGCAAAGTACAAATTCCTTTATAAGCCATGAATAAATTTGGGAAAAGCTGATGCTATTCCCGTTTTACACAGTGCAGAGTATATGGCTGTAACATGTATTGTTTCCTCAAAATCATCACTGTCAGTATCATTTTGATCACTTAAATCATTTGTATTAATTATATGTTTAGATTGAATTTGTATGTCATTTGCTGTAGCACTATTAATAAAGTTTTTATAGTTAGAAGCAAATAACTCATATTCTACATTCAAACCACTTTTATTAATTTTATCTGCAGACAACCAGTTTATCAAGTAATGGAATTTATTAGGGGAGTCTTTATTTAACTCCAAGCGTTCAGGTAGAGGTAATGAAAATTCTTTAAAAATGTTTTCAGAACCACTAAATCTATCATCTAGTTTAGTTAAAATTACATCCAATGTACATCTATAGACTTCACATACATAGCGGTAAATAGCTAACCTAACCTTTGAAGTTATTCTATCATCACTACACATTTCTCCACTCATTTTTTTCTCGCAAGATGTCCGCACTTCTGCTAAATCATGTTCTTCCAAGTCATGTGCTTCACAAAATAATTTTGTTTCTGAAAAAAGGTTCTCATATACAGATTCAGTTTTCATTGCTTGTAAATCTTGAATTTGTTGCCGAGTTACTTTAATTAAATGTATAGCTTGAATGAAATCAATGGCAGGATTTTGTAAATAATTTGATAATGGTGTAGTAATTGAGAATATACTGCGCATTATATGCATTGTAAGAACAAATTTAAATGAATTTAGTTGCTTTAAAAACTATTAGCTAAATGTTTGTTTTTTTTGTCAGTTTCTTCAGGGCCAATTTTTTTTTAATGTTAAAATAATTGATTTATAAGTGATTTGTATAACTTCTAAAGAACGGTCATGGTATGTCCATCTTGTAGCAGAAAAAATTTTTAACCGGCGAATACTTTAATTTTTATATAATTGTTTTTGAAACTCTACATATGTTGCAGTTCTCTTTCTGGCACCTAAAAATGTTACCATACTACTAATTGTACCAAAAAATCTTGTGCGCATTCAGTTGCTTCACGACATTCAACAACTGCTAAATTTAAACAATGTGCACTACACCATACATGTAATGCACTTTTATTTTCGTTTTGTATTAGTGAGCTTAATCCTTTTACAGCTCCTTGCATATTAGATGCACCATCATAAGCTTGTCCAATTAAATCATGCTTCCAGTTTAAGTTATATTTATCACATACTTTACAAAATAACTCATACATCCCATTTCCAGTTGGATCTACTGTTTCATCAACACAAATTAATCGCTCTTTTATGAGCCCATCATTTGTACAATACCTCAATACAAAAGCAAATTGGTCGAGCTTTGACACATCAGTTGTAGAATCCCATATAAGTGAATACTTTGCAGCCTGTTTCACTTCCTTTAAAATTGTTTCACGAATCGATTCAGCAATACAGTTGAGCATAGAATTTTGAGATGATTTGGATAGAAATGTCAATCTTTGTTCTTTTGTTAATGATTTAATATTTTCCAAGTGAGAAGCTAAAATTGTATGATGATTGGAAAAAACGTTAACCCAATCTAGAAATTTTCCACTAATGTCATTAGTTAAATGCTCAGTATGTCCTCTGAATGCATCATTATGTTTGGATAAACATAATATTATGTCCATTAATACATGAACAACTGCTCTATTCATTGTAACATGTTTATTATTAGAATTCATTAACTGAAATCGACACGGTTATTATTTATGTAGATTATTTTATTTAGTTCAGCTTCTAAGTGATCTTTACAAGTTTCATGCAAATGAATTCGACCATATACACCACCTAAATGACCCCATAAATTGCAACCTGTAGTGGCAAAAGAGTTTTTTTGAGCTCTAATAGAACCAAATAGTTTGCATGTCCAATAATAAATTATATTCATTACAGGCGAGTATGTAATCCATGATCGATGTTCAGATTTTCCATTAACCAACTTTGTATAATATGATGTTGAAAACGAACGTGGTGAATTTGATTCATCTTTTGGAAATTTGCCATTGGGTAAATCGGTAGCAACTGGTTGGCATGGACCCATTTCTTATTGAATTAACTTTAATCCTGGTGTGATTGATTTATTCATAAATAAAACTGGATCATTTTTAAACATTGGCGAAGCTGATTGTAAATTGTCAACAGATTCAAAGATATCAGGAGACTCAACATCTAAAATTGAATTATATTATAAGTTAGGTATCATAATAGTTATTTATAGTTTAGTTTCACTAAACTCTTTCAATATTTACAACATTCAATTTAGATATAATTATTTACTGACACTCAAGCTATTATAATTTAAAATTTTGATTAATCCTTTAAGATTTTATAAATACAATGTACATACCTGCTGTCTCGTTAGAAGCATTTAGAACAACTGATTCATTTGATTTATCTTCTTCTCCAATAACTACATCAATATTCAAATTTTCAGTTTTCTCAAAGCTACTCGCATCTATATCTAATATATTTAAGTTTATTGGATAAAATCAAAATCATTAAGTAAATAAATGATATTGATGATATTAAAAATTAATAAACAGATTATAATATGTATAATGTATATATTATAATGCATAATAGGTTCTTTTGAAATTTTAGGACCATATTCAACTTCCATTCATCCATCAGATTTAAATTTTTTAAACACACTTATAAATAAATATAAAGTTATGATATTATTATGTTTTGTAATTTTTATTTGTAACATACAATTAATATTGTTTAAACTTCTTATGCCCGGTTGCACAAACGACCAATAACTAGCTATCGGACCTGTTGCGGCGCAACAATATGTATTTGAGTAATAGCTGGACACACACACACAGAGCACATACCTAGTAGTTATTTTTGTATTGTTTTATTCTTGTTAATTGCATCGTGAATTATTATATAATATGTAGATAACCGCCGCTGCCGCCGCATCGGCTGCGCGATTATTATTAGTTAACAGAGCCGTCGTTTAATTACAGGCATATATTATTATATTATATTTTATTCACGCCAGTATATTTATGTGAGTTGCAATAAAACCTCCGGGCTGTTCCGTTTCGTATCTGCATTTTGTTTTGCAATTAAAATATTTTTTTCTAATTCTGCAATGTCTAGTTGAACATTTGCTCTACTAAGATTTACGTCATTATATTGATCAACAAATGTTTGCTTTGTATTACAAGTACTTAAATGGTGTGACGCTATATCATTCAGACTTTCAAAAGCTGTCTTTGAATTTGAYTGTTTTGATGATCTATTAATTTTTAGAGGTGTAGATGTTGTAATAGGTTGTGTAATGGTTGTTTTTGGCTGCTGGTTGATGGTTTTTAACTTATCTAGTTAATGATWAAAATTTTACAAAATATTAGATTTCTACTAAAAATGTAATTTAAAATTCAGTTCTTACCACTTATCACATCATTATATTCAATAGTAATTGGCTGTTCAATACTCATATCTGCAGAAGAACCTATATCATCTGGGCCTAGATCACAATCTAATAATAAAACAATTTTACCATGTTATTCAGGAATATAACATAAACAATAAAAACTATTTTAATTAAATTAAATAATAACTTACATATTGAACCCTCATCATTAACAGTACTGAAATTTTGACCAACATCGTATGTAAACACATTTTGGCTATTTAATGAAACTTCAACAGGATAATCTCCACCGCAGTCATAAGGAGACTCTAGCGATTGAAATCGTTCACCCAGCATACCAGCAATTTTACTACTTGTAGTAGTATAATGACAATTAGCTTGCCCACCTCCAGTTTTGTAGGTTTCTTTCTGAAGACAAATACAAAATTATGATAGAATAAATAAATGCATTAAACACAATAAAAGAAATATTAATATTTACTTTTTCTTTATTAATATMTAATTTAGYCTTTTTAAATAAATTTYCCTTGCACAATTTTAATTKATTGACTGATCTTTTTCCACTTGTTTGTAGCTCATTATATGACTCAGCAATATTTTCCCATGCTTGAGTTTGAAAATCCAAACTAACAGATTGATTCTATAAATAAAATAATTTTATAATTCCTATTATAAATTGTTTTTGAAAAATTAACATGTAATTAAATTATTTATAAATATAACATACGATTGATAGTTGATTTGATGAAATAAGATCAATTATTAATTMTTTTTCTCTTTCAGTTTGTCCATTAGGTTGGAGTAAGTAAGTATTGACCTAAAATAATAATATCATTAATTCATTGATCACCTAACATACCAAAAACATTTGAACAAAATTATTTTATTAGGTCCATAATTTAACATTTAATACTTAACTATAATTTAGATCTATATAAAAATTGGATAACCAAGCATTAACTAAAATAAGTACATACTTTATTACATGAATATSATTTTAATAAAATATTATTTACTTTTTCGCTGCTTTGGGCTTTCTTGGTATTKCGCTTCATGATATCAAACATTGCTTTTAACTGGACAATAGTTTTTATGCCAGTTGTTTGCAATGCATTATAGTCACTTGTTATGTCTTCCCATGTCTTGCCTTTTATTTTGTTTGTAATACTATCAGTCTTTTTACATAGTATATGAAACAAAAATGATATGATTAATTTTGTAATAAAAACATTTTTTAATTTTTCAAAAATATGAAAATTGAAGATTTTTGGTTTTCGAAAATGGTAGAACCTAAAACTATGCTTCATGGACACTCAGTAATAGTACTTGAGTGTTAAACCATAATAAATATAATTTTAGACCAATAGAATAATAATAATTAAATATTAATAAAATATGCCAAATGTTAGAAATTCGATTTATTATTATCAGTTACATTGCTAATCTGTGTATGACGWGTCAGACTACAGACTTCAATGATTTAAAAGTCAGCTATATACTTTAATRTATAAATATATWTTTKTGCTTAGATCCTTAAATAATGTTTTAAAACAATATAAATTACAATACACACCTTAATATTTTCTATGATCGCAAGTTTGGGTTTTATGAGATCAATAAGAATCTCTTTCTCGGCGTCGGAAACATTCTTACTTCTTTTTTTAATACTAGACATTTTAAAAACGATTACAAATTTACAAATTAGTAATTATTAATTGTTACAGTAAAACATRAATTATATTAYTAAAATATCTTCGATGTGTAAACTTTACTATATTATTATTATAAAAGTATAAAACAGATAACAATTAACACTGATAACATWAAAAATATATGATGGAATGATAATTTTTTGTAACTATGGTATCTAAACTATGGTTAGAGCAATAACCATCAAAATGTTAAAGGATTTTCTGTGCAACAGTCCAACACTTTAAGGAACCAATAAAGTTATTTATCCGACTGTTTATTGAACCGTTATCACAGTTTATTGAACTGTTTTTATTGATCGTTTGTGCAACCGGACATTAGACTACTAAAATGTATGTACAAAAAAAAGTTGGACTTTATTTTAAATAATAATAAAAAAATCTTGATAATACTTTTTCAGATTTTACTTTAATTTGCACAAAACATATTAATAATTTAATCAAAAATCTTGTTACAATCAAATAAAAAAAAAGTAAACATCTAAAATTGTATAAGATTAGTTATTAGTTATCAATGTTATTATTATAGTCGTATATGGTTTAATTACAAGAAATTTAATTAATATCCATAATATTTGATTTAAATATTGTTATTTAATGACTGTCCGAATGATATAATTTAAAATGTTTATCAATTCGTGAAGAAATGAAAAATATATTAATCCTATAACTAGCATAACTATAAACATACTTTTTTTTTTCATTTGGAATCGCAACCAGGGAGGGAAATATGGGTTCCCATTGCTGCCTCCCTGGCCGCATCGTTTATTGATAATAACGATAATTACAGTATCAACAAAAACAAGAACAAAAAGTTATTTTTATACAATAAGAAGAAAACAAGGGCCTCTAACCACCCAGAAGGTTGGCCATTCGGCCCACAGGCTTAAGTCTTAACTACATTTTTGATTATCTTCTTGCTACCGGTGAGCTTCTCCTCTCTGCCGTGCTCTCTCCAGTTCCTCCTTCTGGCCTAGGATCTCCTCGACCATTCTGTGGAATGAATCTGAATTTCTTCGAGCTGCAGCCAGCATCCTTCTGCGATGCTGCACGTTGGATGGTAGATCGTCGTGAGCGGGCACACAAAGTAGGTCCGCAACGTCGCCCCGACGGGGTGGTCTACCCAACGACGATGTCAGCTCTGCTCTTGCAGCGTCCCAATAGGGGCAATAGAAAATGGTGTGTTCTGCATCGTCTGTCGGGATATGACAATGCACACAAGCCGGACTGCTCGCCCTGTTCCTGGACCACAAGTAGTTTTGGAAACATCCGTGTCCGGATATTACTTGGGCCATGTGGAACGTTACCGACTTAGGTCCGTAGTACCACCATCTGGCGACGTCCGGTATAAGGCGTTTAGCCCACGGCGACTTCGGAGTCTTGTTCCACACAGTCTGCTACTGGCGAATCAGTTCCCTCATCAACTTGGCCTTAGTGTGTGGTGTGCTCGATTTCCTCAGCTCGGCACTCCTAGCTCTCTCGATGGCCAATAGGGGGGCTGGAGGCATTCGCGCCAGAAGTATTGCGACCATGTCAGATACAGTACGGTAGCACCTGGCTACCTTGATTGCTGCACATCTCTGCGCCTGTAGCAGTAGGTTATTCGGTTTCTCGACCTCCCCAATAGATTCCGCCCAGGTCTGGGCGCCGTACATCAATCTGCTGTGGACCACACTCATCAATAGCTGACGCTTCGATTGCGATGGGCCACCGACGTTGGGCATCAGCCTCCCAAGAGCCACCGCTGCCGCTTTAGCACCATCCGCTACTCTCCTGGCGTGCTCTACAAATAACATTCTAGTGTCCTAGTGAACACCGAAGTAGCGCACTGATCGTTTGACCAGGACGATGCATTCGTTCACGACGATGTCAGGGGGACGATAGGAGTGTTTCTTTGTGAAAACGATGCACTCGGTCTTCTCCGGGGCTAGTTGAAGTCCGTTGTCGGACAACCAAGAACTTACTACCGAGAGAGTGGAGTTGATGGCTTGCTCCAGAATGTCAGCGTTATGACCCACCGCGACTATGGCTACATTGTCGGCGAACGCCAGAAGCTTGACCGAAGTTGGGACCCGAAGTCTCAGGATTCCGTCCTAGAAGATATTCCAGAGAGTTGGGCCCAAGACGGAACCCTGGGGCACACCGCACGTGACTGGGAGACGTGGAGCATCCGGGTTGGAATCTTTGCCAACGATTAGCGTCCGGTCAGACATGTACGACCGCACAACTTCGACCAGATACTTCGGAGTGCTGCACCTCTGGAGCGAAGCGTCAATTAGTCTCCATGGCGCCGAGTTAAAAGCATTCTTGACGTCGATTGTGACCACAGCGCACAGGTCTCTGTAGTGAACCACACCTGAGCCGGCGTCTCGAACTACCCGCAGTACTTTGGCGATGGCATCTGTCGTAGATTTGGACTTTCTAAATCCATATTGGCTACCACTGAGTCCATCTACCTCTTCTATATGAACTTCCAGTCTGGCGGTCGGGTGGCTTGGATTGCCCCTTGTGCAGGAGCACTAAGGACGCACGTTTCCATCATGTCGGAAATCGCCCAGTCCGAATGCACGCATTGTACGCAGCAAGAAACAGCTCCGGGAAACTTAGTGCGGCCAACCTGATTACTTCGTTCGGCACCTGGTCAGGCCCAGGAGCCTTCCCCGACGGGAGTTTCCTTACTGCTCCTCTGAGTTCCTCTGTGGTGAACGGCGGTATCCCGAGAACTGGAGGAGATGTGATCTCAGTTGATTCACCACTAACGTGTGGGGTCGTTAACCAGTCTACCAGCGGAAGAGAAGAAAATAGACCGTGTGCGATCGCCAGAGCAGTATGGTTATCCAGGGCTGCTGAGCGACGGTCTAGTGTCTTCGTCACAATTCTGTAGGGTCGTTGTCGACACTGCTGCAAAGATGGTTCCAGCTGGTTTCTTGCGCCTTGCGAATGGCTAGCCTGAGCCTCTTCCTGGCTTCATTGTACTTAGCAAAGGCGCAGGCACGGTCGACGGTATCCGCCCTGCGACCTGCTTTCTGATATTGCCTACGGGCAAAAATTGACGCCTTCCGGAGATCGGCGATTTCGTTTTTCCACCAATGCACAGCTCTTCTGCCTTGAAGACGGTTCTGCGAGGCATGGACGCGTTAAAGGAGTCAGTAAGGAACCGACTCAAATGTTCCGCGTGGTCTTCGGCGGGTGCATGGGGAGGAAGCAAAGCGATATTGGCGGATCGCCAGTACTCGTCAAGGGCTGCAGGAAAGAGTTTCCTAATGGCCCAGGAACCTTCCATTGAAGACCTGCTTGCAGGTGGCCCAGCGGCAACTCTGACCGAGTTTGCTACAGTGTACTCGACGTAGAGGTGGTCACTGGCAGATTCGAGCTCCGTGAGTACGTGCCAATTCTCCAC